ACTTTGAATATAAATACTTTCGTTTGGTCATTAATTTTTTAAAAATTTTCATGTTATTACATTTATTAATTATAAAATAAAATAAATTTTAGATAAGAACGATTTAATAAAATACAATATTTAATGAAAATACTTCAGCTTCTTATAATGCTTCTCTTATTTCTCAAACTCGATTTATTATTAATGAGCAATAAAATATTGCTGATTCTCATCAGCCTATATATGCTTATAATGATAGTGATTGCTTAAATTCAACAAAAAGCATTACAAGTGTACAAAATACCTTTTCAGTAATGAGTGGTAGAAATCGATATTTCCTTAGAAGTCAATAGCAATCCTCTTCCAGTCAACACTCAAATGAATGATCACAATCCTGACATCACTCAGAAAAATGATTACAGTATGGACTTGATGAAAATCAGCCTCAATCGAGACAACAGTCAAGAGATTGACAAAGATCAAGACATTCTTCAAGAGAACGATCTGAATCAGGATAATCTTCTAGAGAACAAAGTTAGTCAAGACATCCTTCAAGAAAATGATTTGAATCCCAACAGTCCAGATATTTTTCAAGACAACAAACTTCAGCCCTTTTATCTTTAAGGTAACAAACTTATATGTATTAACTCTCAAGATAACAAACTTCATATTAAACAGCTCGAATTGTATTTTGCCAACATCATAGAAATCACAAGACTTTGCCTTTACTTGAAAATTGAGAAATATTATGGGAAAAAGGATTGACAAATGGTGCAATAAATTTGTATATATATATATTTTTAATTACACTAATATATCTTTTTAAAGAATGGCAACATTATAAGTGACAAGTTGATAAATGACTTTTTTTGCAGCAATAGCAACTATATCTTTTGATAAAAAGACTTAACGATGATATCCGAGAGATTAAGGATGAAATAAAAAAGAGTGATGAACAGGATAAGCTTAGTCTTTAAATTATTGACGTAAGTATTTTAATTAATAAAATTTAAAACAAAATCTATCTAATTTATATTTTTAAATAATTTAGGGAATATGTTTAAATATTATAAAACAATTGTTTTTGAGATATATTTATCTAGACCAAATTACTTTGAAAAATGTCTTGCATGAATATCTTGAGACGAACTTTTTTGAATATATATCTAATTTAGGTTCTAATCAGTTTACAAATTTATTTCATGGTAAATGGTGTAGCATGGTGAGTATAAATAAATAATTCAATTGTTTTTAATTATTTTTAAACTAATTTGAACTTAATTAAATATAAGCTTCTGGCAAAAATAAAAAATTACTGCAGTGCAATGTTACAAAGAATTAGAACAGCAATATGACGAGTCTTTAGTTTCGAATGATTACTATTTTTAAAAAGCAATACTTTATCAGCTGCTGTTATGACATGAAAAAAGTCTGTAGAAGTGTCTGAATATTATCATTTACTTTTTTAATTAAATAGTAAAGGAATCTATTGTATAACTTTGATCACAAGAATAGCATTTTCGGAAACATCTGTTTCCACTTCAAGCAATGAACATTGTGTGTTTACTCTTGCTGTATGCAATATTTTTTTGAATCCTTAATCCAAAAGTATTATTTGTTCTGAAAAACAGATGAAATGTCGTATAGAGAATTTTCTTGTAAGTAATTGATTAAAATATAATAATTATTTTTAATATAATTTTTAATATATTTTTAAATAGAGAGATTTTAATAATAGTGGTTCTTTCCTAAATTCTGTTGAAGAAATTTTAAATAATGAATTAGAAAGTGCATTGAATCAAAAGCAATCACAAGAAACTTTAGAACAAAAACAAAAACAAGAAGAAACAGAGTCAAATAGAATGCAGCAAAACAATTCAATGATATTTTCACAAGAAAAACAAGATGTGTTATTTGGTATAGGTAAAAATAATTGAGATTAAATTAGAAATATAATGTAAAAATTTGTAATCTTACAAAAACAAATTGTTTTATTAAAAAACTAATTATATTGTTATAAATAGATAATTTTAAAATTTTAAAATAAAATCAATACACCTCAATACAAATTGATTTTTTAAATTTAAATTTAAATTAATAAATCCTAATACATATCAATTTTTTATTTAAATCGATAATAATCAACAGGAGGAATTATCATCAATATGTATTCAGGATATTATTAATTGATACATATTATCCTATTTATTTTGCTGATATATAATATTGATTTTTTTTTTAATTTTATTGTAAATTATATTGCTTTTTTTTTTATTAAAAAATTACAAGTATTTGTTTATTTATTTGAATAAAAAAATTGTTATTTTTTAAATACAATATATTGTATATTTTTTTAGAAAAAGATAATTGGAATTTTTTTTGATAAAAAGTTTTTTTAGTATTTTGAAAAATGATCAAAAAAGAAAATTTGTAAAAAATTTGTAATTTGCAAAAATAAGTTTTTTTAAAATATATCATGTATATATATCATATATATATTTAATAAAATAAATAAAATGATAATATAATTTTAAAAAATAAATAAATTGATAATTAATAAAATATTAAATTTTAATAAAATAAATTTTAAAAATAATTATATAAATAATAATATAAATCAATTAATGAATATAATAAATGAAATTATTTATTTAATTTTTAGATTAATTTATAGCTAAAGTTAATTTTTATAAATTTAATATATTGATTAAATTATTTATTTTTCTAGTAGATATTAGCAAATAACATTATATCAAATAAATTATTGTTAACTAATATATTTGGCATAATCACAGATCTGCAGTTACTTGTGTTTTTTATAATATATAAAAGAAAACTTAAAATTTTTTCACAAAAAATATATTTGAAATTCTAAAAAAGTTTTTTTATAAAAGTCAAGCAAATAAAACCTTTGTGTGTTTTTTTTAATGTTTTTATTACTGATATAAACAAATTTTGGGGAGTAATTATTTGTGAAAACATTAAAACAAAATATATTATTTTTTTTATTTTTATTAGTTGTTTTTTCAAGTTAGAAACTTTTCAAAGTTTATTAATACCAATTCAACTTTATAATAATTATCATGAAAGTCTTAAAGTTATCTCAGAGCATTACACAGATGTTAAAGCAACTTTTTTCAAATCCTATGCCCTTGAATGCTCTTAATTCATTCTTTGACTACCATGTTATTAATATTAAATTATTGATTATTAAAATAAACTTGAAATTAAAATTTATAACATTTACAATATGTTTATATACAATACATCACGTTACCTAGTATTTTAAAGTATACAGTATCTTTTCCATATACCATTAAATAAATATCATTCACAGTGACAGTATATGCATGTTTTGGTAAAAAGTAACTTATTTGTTTGTAAGAAGTCAATATCACGGATTCCATGAAATTTAAATATTCATGCTTCTATATATTGTAAATTCCAAGAATCTTTCTATTTTAACAAATAATATTGGTTAAGTCAGTACAGTATACAGTATCATATCCCCTAATTATTTTTTGCGTCAAGGCGTTCCCGAAGGTGCTAAACCACTTGACATTTCAGATGTCTTATGATTTGCGTATCTTATCACATGCGTATTTTACGGAGAGCGTGATCTCTGTGATCCTTTAATATATCGAATAATAAGCGTCAGAAATAAGGCCCATAGTCATCTGTAAAAAGCAAATTGGAACAATTGTACTGCGTGAACAGTTAGATCTAAAGTCGAGTTGAACTTAACGCGTGTCTTAAAATTTGACCAACACTTTCCTTAATAAAATAATAAATAAAAATTTAACAATAGATTTCCAATTCGTGATCTTTGATAGAAAAGACTTTCAGTAGAACACTTTAAGGATCAACTTTCAACTTCAACTATCCACCCTCCCATGAAACAATTGATTCATTTGCTTTCCGAGTTACTTAAATGCAGACTTTGGTCATCAATCAAATAGTTTAACGATAATTGTTACTCGCATCATACATCGGACAAAGGTTCCATGATTCATTGTGAGATGACGATAGTATATAAATAATGAGTAAATTTCAACAATGGGCACATTAATCAAAAAGTAAGGTGGTCTATATTTCTTTTATTTTCGACCATTGACAACGTCATTTCTTTACAATCCTTTTTTTATAAAGCATAAAAGAAATAATAAAATACAGATGATTATTACGAGAGCTCGGGCGAAAACCAATATTAGGTAATAAGCTTATAAAGTACATTTAGTATTAGCTTACGAATTCATAAAATCGCACTTGTGATGAATAGACCAAGTTCATCCAAGGAGTCTTCCAGCACAAGCGTTGCCGGTCCGAGTTCTACTACTACTGGTACACCGTCAAAGGATAGACGCAAGAAAGATCAACGTCAAACCAGAAGTGGAAGAAAAGTTGCGGATTACAACGAATCAACTTCTGAATATTCAGAAGAGGAAGAGGATGAAGAGGGAGCAGGTGATTATAGCATTAAAACCGCTTCTTCATCGGTAGCTCGAGGAAAGAGGCCTATAAGTGCTCGTTATCAACAGGTTAATATGAGTAACAAAATGTTTTCTTACAACATGACTATTTTTATTGATATGGTTACTAGATTTATTATTTTAAAATTTTTCTTAGCATAACGTCAAACGAAACTCTGAAATTAACGAACACGATTCATGTTTAACGTCCGAGATGTCGATTGGTACTCGATAATACTTATTATTATTATTATTATTATTATTATTATATAGTTATTAAGTTATGCGTTATTATTTGCCACAGATAGCGAACAAGAAGAATCTCACAAACATAAACTAGAATTTTCGATATTTACAAAGAAATTCCTTTCTTATGACAAAGGTAAAATCGAACAAGTTGGATTCGATTTTTTAATTCAGTTGCGACTGACATACGTGGTTTTATTATTATTTCTATCAAGGGAAACGCGAGCATCAGAAAAAATTAGAACAAGAAAATAAAACAACTGCTCGTGAAATTGAAGAATTACGATCGAAAACTAAAGCCATCAAATCCAACGATGAAAAGGTCGTCCAAGAGTGTAGTGAACTTGATTCTGCGAATACCGAACTTGTGGACTCCATTGAAAAGATTAAGTACGCATTGATCCAATTAGAAAGAGAGATAGGGCCTACCGTGAGATCTTCAGGGGTGCGACTAAATGACACCGATAATATGGTCGCCTACATTCAAGATTTTCAGAAGAGGATTGTTAGTGGATGCCTCTTGCAACCTTAGCGCAGCATTGTAAGTTTGCATATGTTCCATTGTGGCATTATTCTTTCCCTTTTTTTAATGCCATCATTCTACTGATGTATTTAAACACTGTACTTTTGCTTGCTTCTTCATTTTCTTTGTATCAAAAACATTGCCTCATCTATACAGTATCGGAAAATTTCTATTTCTTTAGACAACCAACCAAAAACCACATTGTAACATTGTATGAAATTCTGAAAAACACAAAAATATAATTAATATATTGGAATACACATTGATATAAACAATTTATAGGAAGTTTCTTTTGAATTAATAATATATATACATGTGTATGAAATAAAATATTCATAATTTATTTTACTTTAAACTTTTATGGTTACGAGCCACTCAACGTTTTCTCCCAATAGATACTTTATAATATACATTATATTATACTAATAGTTGAAAAATTTGCATTATAAAAAAAAAATGTTTATTTTGTTTTTTTGATGTATCATTGTTTTTATCGATCTCACTTATTCAAATGTTATTTGTTAAAGTTAATGACAATACAAAATAATGTTTTATTAAATCAAAAATTTATTATGAACGAACATCCATTCTACGAAAAACCCTTTTAATATTCCATGATGATCAATCCAATGCCTTTCCTTTAATATTAAATTATAATAACATGACAATAAATAATATACTGTATACAGTATATGAATTGTATGTGGAGTTATTGACTACAAGAATTTAATCAGAGAATCAAAATTCATTTATTTATTTTTATCACCAAACAAATATACATGAATATTTTTTATAAATTTCAAATATTTTACATAATTATATTGTTGTTGGCATTGCACTATATACTGTATACTATTGTTTGTTTATTATAAAATGAAGAATTTAATATGAAACAAAAATATAACCTAATAATCTTCAATACAGCATTTAATATACAGCAGTATATAACATATCATTACTTTCTAGAAGAATTATAAGCGACAGAATTTTTACTAGTTTTTTATCTTACCAATAACGCTTTTCTAGAGTTTGTTGTTGTCATTATTAACGAGGCTCAGCGGATTCAATGTTAGATTATTTCTTGGATCTTTCTTCAATAACTTGGCAGACCCTTTCAACAGTGCCCTGCAAGATGTATAGATTATACAACTTATGTTGTAACAACTTTATAAATGGAACATAAAAAGATATAAATACGGGTTAGAAAACATTATATGATGTTTTAAAAGCATTCTTAGCCTAAAAGTCAAAGTAAAAACGGGTTTTTTAAATCTCCTCGCCATTTCAAAAAATATGATCAAATAATTCAATCTGTGTCAATGTCTTTTGCTCTTGAATTTGTCCAAATTTTTTAACTAAAAATACACACATACCTCCCGTTCACGAGATGCATCCGATAAATCTTCCGAATGTTGATTATCTAGCGAAGCCTCATCAGAAGAAAGGGGTGGGTGTAAATGACCCTCATCTAATTGATCTATCGAGAAAGTTTATTTTAAGATACGATTAAGTGATTCTTTACAAAATAACCATGCCTACCGGAATTTGATTCGTTCATCTGATTAGGTTCGTTTTCGTATTTCGTTATTAACGCCGTACATTTATCTTTCAATGGATCTAGGAATTGTTTTTCCGTATCTCTCAGCTGACTAGCATTCCATACACCCGTCTGAGTGATGGTCAAACATAAATATTAGAAGAATAAGAATTTGCTAGAACTTAAAGCGGAAACAGTTCATAAATAAATAAAAAAGGTTGCCTTGTTTTTCTCATCCCTCATTAATAGAAAAAGATAAAAATTTAACCCATGCATGATAAATCCGTGTTTTTCATCAAATTCTTCGTCTATTGAAGATGATTCCTGGAGGATAGACTCTAGCCGAAAAAGGTGAGGAAAGAATCCTTCGATCAAATATGAACTTGCAAATACAGAAGATCCGGACTAAATAATGTCTCATCAAAAACCGGATGACATTAGTCAGACAGTTTCATTTGTGCCGTGGAATAGTAGCGTCCATAGGTAAAACGAAACATACATCTGAATCCTTGTCATACGCTTGATTCAAACGTTGAACGACATTTTCCTTTAAAATGCCTATTGCCGCACTTCTCATTTGTTCGAATGGACACGTCGTCAATAATTCTTGCAACAAAAACATCCTGGCATCATCGGTACATAATGCAATAATACGTGATAATAATTGATGTGCGTAGAAACGCAAGGATTCATTAGGTGAAGTCGATGCGAATGAAGATAATGCCTATACAAATAAGTATTAAAAAAGTAAATGGAAGCAGTACAAGAAATCATTGCTTCTGGTTATCTATCACCTGAAATAACATCTCAAGGGTTACTTCATCCTTGGTCAGCTTTGCATTCAAATTTGGTAGAGTAATGGTATTCTCATCATTCCTTTCAGACAAGTATATCAATACCAACAATATCTTATCAATTATTTCATGTTCTTGCGCCCCACTTGGTAAATATAAATTAGATTAAATATTTCATTTGCTGGAAAAATGATGTAATAACAATGATCTAATAACAACAAAATAAAAAATTTATAAATATTGAACTCACTCTGTCATGAAAAATCTGGTCGCGATTGGTATAATCTTCTTAAACATTGAATCGGGTGGTTCTGAAAACAAGTTCCTCTTAATACTCGATCCCTCTTGAGCAATAGATTCATAATATATAACTGATGCTAAATAAGTTAAAACCCCTCCTGATGAAATAGGATAATCCAAAGTATCGAAAGTTGAGCTAGTTTCTTCTGCATTCAGATCCTCTTCAGTGAGTTGAGTTTTTTGTCTTACATTAATAACATAATTTACAAGTTGTTCATCCGAAATTCCAGAAAAAATGCTAGCTTTCTAAAACATACGATAATGGATTACCAGGTGTTTTATATTGTAACTTTTTAGAATATCATACGTACCATCAATCTACCAATCCGCCCTCCATCAACCAACCTACTATCTTTACTTTGTTTCTTTCTCCATGGAATGTTAAATTTGGGATGAAACTTTTCGTAATACATAGTCGACATTGGAATATCTACGGACCGGATGTATTTTTCAAAAGATGTGATAAGAAGGTAATTGACTAAAAAAAACTCGAGATCTGGAATGTTCTCCGGTGCGACGGTCAAACGATGTTCCTGTAAATACACGCATGTGCGTGTAATATATATATATGAGGTTAATAACATGATGGATGATCCGACATAATTTTTATATCGCAACTGACCGCGCTTTCAAAATCCACAGTTTGCGTCACTGTTTCTGCAAAGTCGATTAAACTCTCTATAACAAGATCGAGAGATTCGCCACTCAAATTTTCCAATTCTGACCATACCCTAGCGACATAACGAATAGTCTCGCCACAAAATTTTAAAAATGTATTTCTTTTGAACCGCTGGAAGGATAATTTGAAAACTGAAATTGATCATTGTAATAATGAAGAAGTTGCATTAAGAACCGCGTGCTCATATGTCCATACAAATACCTATTTTTAGAACCTTTATCAATCCAGCAAACTCTGAAGCCGAAACATCTGCTTTTTCCCAATCTAGCAAACTAAATCTCTCAAATATCATAGTATAAGTTTCACGAATACTACTCTGTGCAATTAATTCAAAAATCGTCAGAGCAACTTCTGACGTGGACTCATGTTGTGACAAATAAGGTACAAGTATCGAAAAAATTGTCCAAGAGAAAGTATCCAAAAGCTGCTCCTAAAAAAGTTTCAGATTATCAAATGTTTTCTAAAAAGAATCGAAAACGAATAAAAATTTTTCTCTATGCAGGTAATAATACCTTTTTGGTGCCATCCTGTGAATAGACGATAGCATTCTGCAAGCTATTCAAAAGATCAACCTGTTCTTGTTCAGAATAATTCGATGGATTCGATAAATAGTTCTCTAAAGTAGCCTCAAACGCGATGTACGCTTTATTATCCGATGGATCTTGATCGATTTTCTAAAATAAAATTTAAAAAAATTCATACCCACGGAAACTTTTTAGGTAATATAATCTTTATGAAAAAAGAATTACCGCAAGATATTGTGCTACACCTTCTTCAATCGCTTTTTTAGCTAGTTCCAAACGTGACATGTTCGAAACAGATACTGAAGGAAAAAGAATTGATCTGAAAATTAAAATAAATGTATCAAGTTTTACGTTACACGCGATCAAAGCGCTACGCAATTTCCATATGTTAAGGTAAAAAAAAACAAATGTTATTCCGTAATATCCAAGCTTGATACTGAATTTAACGAAAATTCGATGCTGTATCCGTAATAATTATTTAATCACTTATTAATTAGGGTTTGTGTATTATGCACCTATTTTTGAATTAAATATAACGCGTTATTAAAAACAACAATTGGTTTTTACTATTCCTTAATTCATCTCATACAATAAAAAATATATTATTTAAATTCTAATCGAAAAAAAAGAACATATTCGATTAAAATTTTGTCATTTAATTGTACTTAAACAATGTCAATATCGATACGATATCATTCATTTTTGTAAAAAAACATCAAGGTGCATAATAAAGTATATTATTTCAAACCGTTATTAAATAAGCAACGGTGATTGCATTATTTAAAAAAAAAGGAAAAAAATGAACCGATCAAACAAAAAAAATTTCATTTAATTTTTTAAAATTTAAGAATTTTAATAGTATTTTGTTGGTGACATTATACAAATTAATATTGTTGAAAAATAGTAATCTCGAAAATTAATTATTATGGTTATTATTTAATTATACTGTATATAGCTATTTACTATGTATTTCGAATACTATTACTTACAATATTATTTATTTAAAAATAATTTTTTTTTAATATTAAAATGATATATTATATTCGTAACTTATATACTGTATATACCGTATACAGTATACACTACATGTGAATTATAAATTTTTAAAATTTATTTTTAAAATGATTTTTATTAAAATCATTTAATTATTATAAAAATTTATAATAAAAAATTTTTTTGAAAAACCTTTAATTTAAAGTCATTTAATAAGATTTTTGTAAAACTTTATATTATTATTTTTTTATTTAATACAAACCAGAAATTTTCAATAAGATAATTTTGAAAGAATTTATACATGTGCTTTAATATAAAACAATATACAATTTTGATTTTTAATAAAAAAGTATAATAATTCAAATATTATTTTATTATTGTTATATTATTGAAAAATTGTTTGTTTTATATAAAACTTTATAAATAACTTATTTGTAATATAATAAAATTTTTAAAAAAATTTTTTTTCTATTAATTTATAAAAACTTATTTGTTTTATATAAAATTAAATTTATAAACATAAATATTTATAATGATTTTATAAAAAATTTTTAATTTTAAATTTTGCTTTATTATTATTTCTATTTTTTTCTGACAAATAGATAATTAATGCTATAATTTTCATTGAAATTAATTTTTAATATTATTTGAAACTTTATAATATAAATATTTTTTAATAAAATTTATATTTAAAACTTTGAAAAGTATCAAATTGATATTAAATTGATATTAAAATAGTATTAATTTATAATAAATTTAAGATATAGGTTATAACTTATTTATATAAATTTATAGTAAATTTAAATATCAAAATAATATTAAAGTAATATTAAAATAGTATCATTAAAAGCCTTATTTATATAGTTTTATTATTAAAATTAAAATTTTAAAATCTTTTAATTTAAATTATATATATTATATATATTTTAAAAAGTTTTTCTGATAGATAAATATTATTTTTTTATTTGATTTGTATATATCATATATACAGTATATTATAAAAAAAATATTATCTTTTATATACAAAATATAACAAGTTAAATGCTAGCTTATCTATTTTACAATATTATTATATATTATTTCTATCTTTAAAAAAAGATAAAAACCAAAACTCTTTCCCGTCCATTATCAAATTTCCTAATTAGGAAATATTTCTTAAACTAAAAAACTCACCAAGTTCTTTACCAAAACATTTTTAACTTCAAGAAATCACTACCAACAGGTATAACCTTGCAAACACATTTATTTTATTAACTTTTCAATTCATAGATATCACAGAAAAAAACCAACAACTTGTCCTCTTCTTGTAAGAGGGGAAGATAAAAA